CCCCAAAACCCCAAAACCCCAAAACCCCAAAACCCCAAAACCCCAAAACCCCAAAACCCCGAAAAGATATAGAGCTATTGAACATAGTTTAGGAGGGTTTTTCACCGAAAACTCTACTCTTGTTCTTTCTATAATAACTTGCCAAAGTGTCTTTTTCAGCGCCTCTAACTATCACTCCATGAAATACAGGAGTTAAATATCTATAGCAAACAAAGATGACCTGTCCGAATAAGCTGTGGATAACCGAAGGGACTGTGCAGAACTCTTGTCCAAGATCTCTCAGGCTACTGGAAACACAATGCTCTGCCGAGATAGTATCAGATGACTTCCTGTTGCCTGCCATGTTAGTAGAGACCATTCCAGGAGAAAGGTCCTGCACATCAATTTTGTCCCCATAATTATCATGCAAGAAATATGAGAATAATGATAAAAATCTTTTTGAGCCTGAATATTCTCTAACAAATGGGGATGGAAAAACATTCACCAATGAAGAAACATTGATGATAGCTGTCCTGTTTCCTCTTTTTAAGAAATCATTGATAAAAAACCTCACTAATAATGCAGGTGCTCCCATATTAAGATTCGCTCTAGATATTAAGTCTTGAATGGGTGAATCCTCAAAGAATCCACTATTCAAAATAGCAGCATTGTTTATAAGCATTGATACATCTAAATCTTTCATTTGGTCGTACAGCTTCTCGTAAAACTCAGGTGATATATCCTCTCCAAAGTCAGCAACCACAATCTTTGTCTTCAGCTGTGGGTGGTCTCTCTTAAGCTCGGCTTCTAAGTCATCGAGCTTCTGCTTGTTTCTGCCAAGCAGCACCAGGTTGAAGCCTTGCTTAGCCAGCTGCTTGCAGTACTCTGATCCGATGCCTCCGGTCGGACCTGTGATGACCACCCAAGAGCCTTTTCCGTATCTCTGGGTAAGATCCAGAGGCTTCCTGATGAAGTTCCTGATGAGACACCTGGTGATCATACACATGCTGTGGACGAAAGTGTAGATACCAATGAGCCAGGCCAAAGCGGAGTTGAAGCTCCAAATAAGTTCAAACATGTTTGAAAGATATATTATTTAACTTTCAGTCGTCATCGCACATTTAGGGGTTTTGGGGTTTTGGGGTTTTGGGGTTTTGGGG